AAAAAAAAAAAAAGACTATATTATATCCCAAGTAGCAAGACTGGAAAAGGAAACAATAGCTTGTGAATATTACTTTCCTCCATTTTACCTTATATTCTGATTCAAATAGCATTTTGGGATGCCAATCTATCAGTTAAGAGACAGTACATACCTTCATAGTCCCTTGCTTCATTTAGATGCAGGGAAAACATAAATGGGCTCTCTGGATGTTTAGGGTCAATATTAGTGAATATAAATTGCAATTTATCACCTGGAAAAAGAGATTACATTATTTAGTATAAGAATATTTTGGTATGCCAAAGCTTCTAATGGAGATAAGCTTTCTCATCCCATCCTTTGATCAATGTCTGCATTGCTAAGTATGCTATATAGTCATTCAACTAATGTCTCTAACTTTAAAAGCCACTAATTAGTTTTAAATTATGTTGTAGCTTAAATGACACCAAAAACAGTCAATAAATGAAAAAACAGATAAACTTCATTAAAAGTAAAAGCTTTTATCCTTCAAAGAATAACATTTAGAAAAGGAAAAGACAGCCTATAGAATGGGAGAAAATATCTGAAAATCATTTTTCTTATAAGGTTTGAATATATCGAATATATTTTAAAACTCCAACAACTGAACCAAAAAAACTCCACCCAATCAACAATAGGCAAAGGACTTGGATGGACATACAAATGGCCAATAAGCACATGAAAAGATATCCAACATCATTAGTTATTAGGGAAATGCAAACCAAAACTGCAAGAAATATCATTTCACATCCAGTAGGATGGCAATCAAGTAAATGAGTGAATGAATGAATGAATAAATGAATTAAGTAAATGCATAGAAAATAACAGTGTTAGTGATGATGTGGAGAAATTAGAACCTAGTACATTGTTGATGGGAAGGTAATATGGTGTAGCCACTGTGGAAAACACTTTTGAAGATCCTCAAAAAGTTTAATACAGAATTACAATATGACCCAACAATTCCAATCCTAGGTATATATACCCTGAAGAACTGAAAAAAGAGACTCAAACAGATAACTGTATGCCAATGTCATAGCAGCATTCTTCACAGTAGCCAAAAGGTGGAAATAACCCAGTGTCTACCACAAGATGAATGGATAAACAAAATGTAGTACACACACACAATGAAACACTGTTCAGTCATAAAATGAAATGAAGTTCGGACACATGCTACAACACTGATGAACCTTGAAAACACAATGCTAAGTGAAATAGGCCGGACACAAAAGGACACAAAAGGACAAATGTTATATGATTCCACTTATGTGAAATATCTAGAGTAGACAAATTCAGAGAAAGAAAGTAGATTAGAGGTCACCAGGGAACGAGGAGGGAGGAAAAGGGAGTCATTACTTAATGGGTATAGAGTTTCTGTGTGAAGTGACAAAAAATTTTGGAAACAGATCATGGTTGGTAACAGTTGCACAACATTGTGAATGTGATTAACATCAATGAATCATAAACTTAAAACTGGTTAAAATGGCAAATTTTATGTTATATAGTTTGCTACAATTTAAAAAGTATTATCAAATTCAATTTTATATTTTTCTACAGCTACCTAGACTTAAAGCCTATTTTCCAAAAGACCTACAAATGTTCCCTTGTCGAAATTCAAAATGACAGCCATAAAATATAAATCACATGCATTTTAGTTTGTTTCTACAGCATAATTAGAAAAATCTCATTACAATTTTTAAATTATAAAATAAAAGCTTCAGAAACTGTGAAAAAAATTTGTCTTGCAGCCAACCTTGGAATTAACTAATTATGTTAGTACACTAGACTTTTAAATTGTTAATAGTAATGAGAGGGATGCATATCAAAGGAAAAAGATTTCATAAGCTATTCAGTAAGACAAAAATGAAGGGTTTTAATTTGGGGTTTTTCTTTCTTAAAACACTATTTCCTGACTTTGAGGGCTATGACAAAATTCTATTTTAAATCTAAAAATAATTTAAAACTGATATTTTTTAAAAAAACCAAAAAAGCACCTAGGATGACAGTGAATATATATTTAGAATTCAACACGTCAAAATTTTAGAGTTGGACCTTATATTCTCCTCTAATCAAAAGGTCATTGTTTTTTTATTAAAACCTCACTCCAAGTGATTTTGGAAAAGCATCAAGACCAATAGATATATGAATGAAAGATTCAGGCAAAAAAAAGAAATATAATTAGTAAACGAATAGAAAAAATGCTCACCTTTTCATTAATAATGAAAAAAGGTTCTATTCATGCCTAGTCAACTGTCAAAAAAAGAAAAAAAGTCCTGCTTGCCTGGTTAGCCTTGGCTGGGGTGGTCTTTGGTCCCTAGACCACTCTCGGTTTGATGATGATTCACGAGGAGGACGTAAAAGACTCTCATTGAACATTTGTTTGTACTCAATGCTATGATTTATTACTGTGAAGGACTACAGAAAAATCAGCAAAGGAAAGGATGCATGGGGTGAAGTCCAAGGAAAATCAAGCATAAATTTCCAAAGTCTCCAGTGAGCTTCCTGGTAGCCAACACTTATGTGTTGCAACAATTCAATGCTGAAGAAATTAAGCGCAACCTGTTTGACTCCACTGGGTTATATTCTTGTGCTTTAACCTAGTAATTCCTCTCTTCGAAACAATTTTATGAAAACTATCCCCAAAAATGAGGAAGTCTATGTTTCTATTGCAGAATAGTCCCCCCTTACCTACTGGGGATACATTCCAAGAGCCCCCAGTAGATGCCTGGAACCGCAGATAGTACCTAACCCTATGTATACAGATGCTTCTCGACTAACAATGGCATTAAGTCCTGAAGAACCCATCTTAAGTAAAAAAATGTATTTAATAGCCTGATAAACTCATTGTAAAGTCAAAAAAACCCTAAGATGAACCACTGTTAAGTCAGGAAGCATCTGTACTATGTTTTTTCCTATACACACATACATACCTATGATAAAGTTTAAGTTATAAACTAGGCTCAGTGAGAGATTAATAACACTAACTAATAATAAAATAGGACAATTATAACAATATACTGTAATCATAGTTATATGAATATGGTCTCTTTCTCAAAATATCTTATCATACTATATTCACACATTTAACATTTTCAGTCCACAGTTGATCGGAATAACTGAAACCTTAGATAATAGGGGATTACTGTGCTTCTAAAACTAAAAATACTGACAGAATCCAAATGTTATAAGAAGTAATACTTGTGTTAAGCAATAGATAAATGATTGAATAAATTATGCTACATTAATACAATGAATTAGTATACTATTTAAAAATTATCATTACAAAGGCTATAGCAACTGAAGAAATGCTAATAATACAATGCCAGTAAGAACAAAGAACAAAAATTATTTGCATGTTGACAACCAAGTCCAAAATACATTTATTACAATAAAAAATTATAAATAACTAAAGCATCAGTAACCTTGTTGGCATGATAAAAAAAAATTGTAATTTTCCCCATTTTCTAAAAACTTAATAACATGGTCATTATTTTAGTTGAAAATATTTTAAAATTCTCCTCCACTTATGAAAAGTCTTACTCTACCCAAGGTAATCTACAAATTTAATTCAATACCCATTAAATTACTAGCATCATTTTTCTCAGACCTGGAAACGACAATATGGAAATTCATATGGAAATATAAAAGACCATGAATAGCCAAAACAATCCTCAGCAAAAGAAACAAATAGGAGGTATCACACTTCCAGACTTTAAACTTTACTATAAAGCTACAGTAATCAAAACATTCTGGTATTGGTACAAGGAGGCATATAGACCAATGGAACAGGATAGAGACTCTGGAAGCAAAACCTCAATTTCTCAATCAACTCATTTTGACAAAGCCTCCACCAAAAACCACTGGGGGGAGAACTTATTCAGTTAATAGTGTTGGGAAAACTGGCTGTCCACATGCAAAAGAATGAAACAGGATCCCTATCTAACACCATACACAAAAATAAACTCTAAGTGGATCAAAGACCTAAACGTAAAACCTCAAATGTTAAGAATCTTAGAAAATGCAAGAGACACCCTTATGAGAATCAGAGTAGGCAACCAATTCTTGATCAAAATCCCCAAATCAACTCTAAATGGATCACAGACTTAAATGTAAAACTTCACACTATAAGAACCGTAGAAAATGCAGGAGATGCTCTCTTTCCTCCAGCTGCTCAAGATGCAGAAAGGAAAGAAGATCAAGGGGAAGAAGGTGGCCCCAGCCCCTGTTGTCGTGAAGAAGCAGGAGACCAAGAAGGTGGTGAATCCTCTATTTGAGAAAAGGTCTAAGAACTTTGGCATCGGACAGGACATCCAGCCCAAAAGGGACCTTATCCATTTTGTCAAATGTCCTCAATAAATCCAGTTGCACCAGCAAAGAACTATCCTCTATAAGTGGCTGAAAGTGCCTCCTGCCATTAACCAGTTCATCCAGGCCTTGGACTGCCAGACAGCTACTCAGCTGCTTAAGCTGGCCCACAAGTACAGGCCAGAGACAAAGCAAGAGAAGAAGCAGAGACTGCTGGCCCAGGCTGAGAAGAAAGCTGCTGGCAAAGGGGATGTCCTCACCAAGAGGCCACCTGTCCTTCAGTCAGGGGTCAACACTGTCACCACCTTGGTAGAGAACAAGAAGGCTCAGCTGGTGGTGATTGCGCATGATGTGGATCCCATTGAGCTGGTGATCTTCCTGCCTGCCCTGTGTTGTAAAATGGGGTCCCCTGGTGCACTATCAAGGGGAAGGCAAGACTGGGGTATCTGGTCCACAGGAAGATGGGCACCACTGTCGCCTTCATTCAGGTAACTTGGAAGACAAAGGAGCCTTGACTAAGCTGGTAGAAGTCATCAGAACCAATTACAACAACAGATATGATGAGATCTGTCGTCACTGGGGAGGCAACATCCTGGGTCCAAAATCTATGGCTCCCATCAACAAGCTGGAGAAGTCAAAGGCTAAAGAATTTGCCATTAAGTTGGGCTAAATGTATACTGTTGAGTGCCCTGTACATAAAAATAATAAAAATTATCCTTCAAAAAGCAAAGAAAATGAAAGAGGTACCTTTATGAAAATTGGAACCAGCACCTAATTCCTGATCAAAACCTTAAATGAGATAAGACAGACAAGTGGGAACTCATCAAACTGAAAAGCTTCTGCAAAGCCAAAGAAACCACCAAGAGAGTAGGGAGACAGCCCACAGAATGGGAAAAAATATCTGCCAACTGTATATCTGACAATATCTAGGATCTACAAGGAACTCAAACATGCTGAAAAGAAAAAAACAAACAATCCTATTAAAAAGTGGGCAAAAGATATGAATAGGCACTTCTCAAAAGAATACATAAGAGCAGCCAACAAATACAGGAGAAAACACTCAGTCTCACTAATCATCAGAGAAATGCAAATTAAAACTACACTGAGATACCACCTAACTCCAGTCAGGATGGCCATCACCAATAACTCAAAAAGCAACAGATGCTGGAGAAGATGTGGAGAAAAGGGAACACTTCAACACTGTTGGTGGGATTGTAAACTAGTACAACCTCTGTGGAAAACAGTGCAGCAATTCCTAAAAGATCTAAAAATCGACCTTCCCTATGACCCAGCAATCCCCATTCTGGGAATATACCCAGAGGAATTCAAGTCACTCTATGAAAAAGATACCCGCACACCCATGTTTATTGCAGCATTATTCACAACAGCAAAAACAATGAACCAACTGTGCTGCCCATTGAAAGTGGACTGGATTTTTTTAAAATGTAGTATATATACACAATGGAATATTATGCAGTCATAAAGAAAGACAAAATTGTGAGCTTCACAGCAACTTGGATAGACTTAGCATCTATAATACTCAGTGATCTATCACAGAAGCAAAGAACTGAGTACCACATGCTCTCGCTCATAAGTGGACCCTGAATAATTATCATAATACTATAAGAAAGGGATTGGCAGTAGTGGGAAACAGTCAGGAAAGGGGTGAGGAGTATACTTCATCAGTAAGGGTACCTGATTTCAAACCAGGTGAAGTGGGGACCAAAGTGAGGCCAAACTTTACCTGTACAACGAGCATTTGTATACTTAATACTGAATTGTACCCCACATCTTTAAAATAAAAATTTTTCTAAAGGCCATACTTTTCTAATCCCTTATGTTTTACTTATATGAACATACTTACCATGGATTTTTCGAATTTCTAGTCCAAGTCTATCTTTATATAAGTCTGCAGATTGCTGCAGCCTTTTCAACCTCTCTGCATTAGCTTTGTTAGCAGCAGAAATAGCTGTGATTAAAGAACACACACAGTATCAAATATTTTCAATGATGTTCAGTTAATGCTTATGGAATTAAACATTTTTTTTAAACTTGAAAACAACTGTAAAAATGATGCCAAGCATATGAGTCTGCTTATATTTATTCAGTTTGTATCTCTACCAATTAGCAAAAGAAGCTTCTGTTCATTCAGGTTGGAATGAAAACTTATTCAAGAAAATATATACAGATAAATGAGAGGAATAAGTTTTCTATTATATTATATAGTAGCATGAATAAATAGGCCAGGGATTTGTATGGGTAGCATAGAAATAGAAAAATTTCATTTACATTATTTTGCTTTTTCTGGATAGCCAAGGATACACTAATTATTTCATGGGAAAAATATTCTACGCCTTTAAATATCTCATCACAGGTCATGCTAGTCTAAAATTTTTTCATGCTAGTCTAAATTTTTTCATGCTAGTCTAAAATTATTTCATCCTAGTCTAAAATTTTTTTTAAGTTACCATAATAGTCCCTAAGTTAAAAATTAGCAAATGAAAAAATAATTTCACAATGTAGAGTTGGATAAGAAAATGCATTAACAAAACAAACGTTGCTATTTTCAATAGACTTGAAGAATTGATTACTTAGTTTGTGGACAAATAAGTTTCCTTTCTAAAAGAAGCATTCATTTGAATATAAACTATTTTTAACAAAGACACTTTGCAGCATAAAAAGAGTGCTTCTACTGCCTAGCAGAGAATGTATGGTCAATAAATATTTGTTGCATAAATTACACTATGGTTTCTCCAAAGCAAATCTTATTTACTAACATCATTTCCTACTCTGCTTAACTAAACTTTCATACCAATTTCATTATTACTCCAGTTATATTAGAAATCAAAGGAGAAGTCCCTTTAAGTAAAATAAACAAATTCACTTAGCTAACTTTAATGACACCATGCAGAGATGAGTGGCTGGCTACGCCCTGAGGCACTGTAATCCATTTTTAGCAGTGGACGGGAGGAGGCAAGATGGACATAATTAATTGTATCATCACCACTTTAAAATTGAGATTGGTGCTTTAAATATGTTTACAACTGAAACTTACTTTTCTTCTTCCTAGAATATTCTTCCTTAAGATCCTGGATATTTGTAGTCAATTCTTTCAATTCCTGTTTTTTATCTTTTACTTCAGCAATCAACTTTAACAAGTTATCTTTTTTTTCTTGAATGAGCTTATTCTGCCTGCAGATCTCTGTAAGAAACACAAGGTATTAGCTAGAATACATATGCTTTGCATTCTGACATGTATGTAAGAAAAGACCAACATTTATTGACTCCCATAAGATGAATAAATAATGTTTTGATTGATAAGCATTTCCTAATGATTCAGAAATTATAAAAAGACAAAAACAAAAAGAAATCCTAATCCACTCTTTCCTACTCATGTTTGAAAAGAAAAATGAGAAAATAGAAATGGTTCTTTAAAATGAGAATACCAAATTAAACCATGAAACAAAATCAGAAGATCATGACCTTTGCAGTTCCCCACAATAAGTATATAAGTAAAACCTACCACCAAAGACAAGCAAACTCTGGAAGATGGCTTTACATTGTGTTTTGAGGAAACAGCTAATTCTAATGTTATAAAAATTATTCTGGAACATATAAAAAAAAAGGGAAGAAATATAGGCAGGCAGCCAAATCTTACATGTTAGCATAATTCTGAAACTGAAACAATAAAGATAGCACCATGCCTCCACCTACAACCATATAAATTAATCTCGCTTAGAAACATAAGTGTAAAAATGCTTAGTAAAACTCACGCTAAAAACAATCACCTAAGAACACATACAGTTTATTCTAAGGTATAAAGTGAAGGTGTATTAGGAAAATTCATCACATGAACAGGCACTGAAGGATCATTTAATATAAATTCAACACCCATTCCTGATATTGATTCTTAAACTAGAAATAGAAGGACATTTTTTTAACATGATAGAAACAAAGCAAAAACCTTTAAAACCTCTGGCATTTTGAATAAGACAGACACCAGCTAGCATGACTATTTAATATTTTCCCCAGAAGTGTCCAGATAACTCAAAATATGTAATTGGTAAAAATACTGAAAAAAAACCCCTATTATATGTAGACAACAGACATCTATCTAGAATACTCAGAAAATCTGTCAGAACTTACAGTACTACATATGACAAAATCAATAGCTTTCATAAATAACACCAGTGATCAATACAGAGGTAAGAATAGTTGTGTTTATGCTAATGTTAATAAATGCAATATTAGTTTTTGCTATTAGCTGTTATTAATTTTATTAGCTTTTGCTATTCCATGCTATTTTTAAGTAGAGGCATACCTCAGAGATATTGCAGGTTCTAGTCCAGACCACTGCAATAAAGCAAGTCACACAATATTTTTTTGGTTTCTCGGTGCATGTAAACACTACATTTATACTATGTTGTAGTCTATTAAGTGTGTAGCAGCATTGTGTCTGAAAAAAATCCATGTATATACCTTAATTAAAAATACTTTATCGCTAAAAAGTGTTAACAATCATCTGAGCCTTCAGTGAGTCATAATCTTTTTGCTCATGGAGAGTCCCGTCTCGATGCTGATGGCTGTTGACTGATCAGGGTGGTGGTTGCTGAAGGTTAGGGTGGCTGTGGCAATTTCATGAAATGAGAAAACTCTAAAGTTTGCCTCATTGATTGGCTCTTTCTTTCAAGAAGGATTTCTCTGTAGCATTTGATGCCGTTCAGTGGCATTTTACCTACAGTAGGATGTCTTTCAAAATTGAAATCAATTCTCTCAAACCCTGTTGCTGTTTTATCAACTAAATTTATTAATACTCTAAATCCTTTGTTATTATTTCAACAATGTTCACAGCATCTTCACCAGGAGCAAACTCCATCTCAAGAAACCACTTTCTTTGTCCATCATAAGAAGAAACTTCCCATTCGTCAAGTTTTATCAGATTACAGCAATTCGGTCACATCTTGAGGCTCCACTTCTAATTATAGTTATCTTGCTATTAATATTTCCACCGCATCTGCAATGGTCTTTAAGTGGACTTCTCCAATGAAGTCTTAAACTCCCCACAGTCAACCATGAGGGGTGGAATCAAACTTCCAACCTCTTGTTCATGATGCTATTTTGATCTCCTCCCATGAATCACAAATGTTCTTAATGGCATCTAGAATGGTGAATCCTTTCAAGAAAGTTTTTAATTTTCTTTGTCCACATTCATCAGAGGAATCACTGTCTATGGCAGCTATAGCCTTACAAAATGTATTTTTTAAATACAAGGCTTGAAAGACGAAATTACCCCTTGATCAGAGGGCTGCAAATGGATGCTGTATTGGCAGACATGAAAACAGCATTAATCTCTTCATACATCACCAGAGATCTTGAGTAGCCAGGTGCATTGTCAATGAGCAGTAATATTTTGAAAGGAATCTTTTTTTCTAAGCAAGAGATTTCAACAATGGGCTTAAAACATTCAGTTAAGCATGGTATAAACAGATGTGCTATGATCTAGGCTTTGTTGTTCTATTTATAGAGTACAAGTGGAGTAGATTTAGCATAATTCTTAAGGACCTTAGGTTTTTTAGAATGGTAAATGAGCATAGGATTCAACTTCAAGTCACCAGCTGCATTAACCCCTAAGGAGAGTCAGTCTGTTCTTTGATTGCATCTTCATTCAATAAAAGGCTGTTTCTTCTACACTGAAAATCTGTTTGTAGCCATCTTCATCAATAATCTTAGCTAGATCTTCTGGATAACTTATTGCGGCTTCTACATCAGCGCTTGCTGCTTTACCTTGAACTTTTATGTTTTGGAGACAGCTTCTTTTCTTAAACCTCATGAACCAACCTCTGCTAGGGTCAAACTTTTCTTCTGCAGCTTTCTCAGCTCCCCCAGCCTTTATAGAATTGAAGAGAGTTAGAGCCTTGCTCTGAATTAGGCTTTGACCTAACAAAATGTTGTGGCTGATTTGATCTATCCAGACCACTGAAACCTCCTCCACGTCAGCAATAAGGCTGCTTCTTTTTATTATCATTTGTGTGTTCACTGGAGTAGCACTTTTGCTGTCTAGCACAAGAGTCTTAGCTTTTAGCCTATCTCAACTTTCAACATGCTTTCCTTACTATTTTTATTTTATTTTATTTTATTTTTTGAGTTGGAGTCTCACTCTGTCACCCAGACTGGAGTGCAGTGGCCGCTCCCAGTCACTGCAGCCTAGACCTGCTGGGCTCCGGTGATCCTTCCGCCTCAGCCTTCCAAGTAGCCAGAATTACAGGCATGCACTACCACACCCGGCTGATTTTTTGATTTATTGTAGAGATGAGGTCTCGCTGCCCAGGCGGGTCTCGAAACCGCGGGCTCAGGCAATCCACTCACCTCAGCCTCCCAAAGGTGCAGGATTACAGGCTGAGCCACTGAGCCCGGTTTCTTACTGTTTTAAATCATCTCTATCTCTTGATTTAAAGTGAGAGATGTGTCTCTTTCTTTAACTTGAATACTTAAGAGATCACTGTAGGGTTGTTAACTGTCCTAATTTCAGGGAATAGAGATGCCCAAGGAGAGGAAGAAAGGAAAGTCTGTGGAGGAGTCAGAACACACTCAACATTTATCCATTAAGCTTACCATCTTACATGGAAGCAGTTTGTAGCTCAAAACAATTAAAAAAATGTCAAAGATCATCATAATAGATATAATAAAAAAAAGTTTGAAATATTGTGAGAATTACCAACATGTGACAGAGATAAAGTCAGCACATGCTAATGAAAACAAATTGTGTCAAAAGACTTGCTCAACTCAAAGTTGCCACAAATCTTCAGTTTGTAAAAACTGCAATATCTGCAAAGTGTGATAAAAGTGAAATGCGATAAAACCAGTTATGCCAGGACCAAAATATTGGCTTTTTATATTTATCACAGATATTTATCAGCACCTCATTACCCCTTCTTGCCTTTAATCCGTCTACCCTCCTGGCCTTCCCCATGTCCAGTCATTATCCCTGCAAGTCCTTGTACCTTCTTAAATACTCAGCTTCTGCAACAACCTACATCTTTCCCTCACATACATGCTCAAACTAAAAATAACAAAACCTGTCCAAACATCTAACTGGATCTTTCTGCTCGAAAATGAAATAACCCTGAGAGGACCACTTCTTTGACTGAAAAACAGATATAACTGCTGCTACTTGGGGACCCTTGCCCAGAGAGAGCGGTCCCAAAGTGCCAATCAGTGGGCTAAATAGTGCAGAAAGGCACTAAAAGCCTAAGAACTCCAGGGCAGAGGAGGATACTGAAGGTCAAATAAGCAGAGCCAGTAGAGCTCTTGAGTGGTGTTTTATAATATATTCATGAATTTTTAATGAAATTAAATATTTTAGGAGAGAAGCGGCAAGATGGCGACGGGGTAACCCGGTTTCTGAAGCCCTCTGCAAAGGAGATCTGCAGTGGGTCTCTGACTCTCGCCCCGGGGGGCTGTGGACCCCAACATCGCAGCCTGCTCTTCATATGGAGCTCGGTCGTTGCCACCGCTGGGACATCGCAAAGGACTGGCCAGTCACTGCGGTGCAAACGATGCTGCTGCCGCTGCTGCGGACACCACCGCCACTGCCACGGCCTCGTGACGGCCGTAGCACATCATACCACCTGGGCCCAAGGCGATCCACATCAAACCCCTTCAGGGAAGATCTGCTGGGATCGCTGCCACCTCTCCGGCAACCTAGACTGTCCTGCCCGCCCACCAAGACTGTCCTGTCTGCCCACCGTAAGGCTCCTGTTGCCGGCCCTGAGGCAGGCAGCCATCTTGTTCCTGTCCGGCCCCACCCCCTCTGGGGCGAGCAGCTGAGATAGCACCACCTAGTGGCGATTCAGGTAACAACACCGAAACGGGAGAAACAAGCTTGATAAAGACATAGACCAGAGTGCTGAACGGAGGGAGGGTAATCTGAACTGTCCTTCACAGCAGATCAGGGGCAACTGACCCTAACTGAAAACTAATTTACCAGCTTGAAAAGAAAACTAGAAATCAGACCTGAAAGGACAATGGACTTCAACGAAATGTCTCAGAGTGTGCTTCATTGATTCTATTAATTTAATGACTTAATTCTATTCCTACTGTATTGTTCCCTTTTTTCTTTTTTCCTTTTCCTTTTCTTCTCTTTTCTTCTCTCTGAAAACCATATCTTTATATAGAGGAACAGCACACTAACAAGGTGGTTGG